AGAGCTCCACCGAAGGCTTTAGTGGCAGGGTTCGCTTCGCAGTCTCATTCTGGCGCGCCCCTCGCGCGACTGGTGGCCCCATCGGCCCATCGGCCCATCGGGGGTTCCCCTTGTTTCGTCCCACTCGAAGTGCGTCGCGCATGGGTCCTTCGCCAGGGCAGTTTGAGCGCCCCTTTGCGCGCGGCGGCAAACGCAATGTCATAGTGCTGTGCCTAGACGAGCCGGAGGAGCATACTGGGCGACTCTCCTGATGCAGTTCACGTAGCCCTCCGACTGCCACCACAAGTAGTTTCTGCCGAGAGATGCCGTCGATGCGGGACTGGCTAGGCCCCCTAGCAACGCATGCAAGACCACCGTGGCAAATCTCGGCGCTGCCGAATGAGCTGATGCACGTCGGGAAAGAACGCCTGTGGACTCCTTCCCATGTGCCAGTGGTGCCCTGGGCTTGCTGGGGACCGACCCCGCTGCCGGCCTCCCTCTCAGCGTTTTCATGGCTTCTCCTGTCTCCGCTCGTTTGCCGCCGTCTCTCGCCCCTTCATTTTCATATTTCTCTGCGCATTTCTGTATTTATCTTGTTTTCCTTGTCCGCCATGCCCGCATCCGCGCCCTCTCAGCTCTGTCTTCTGCTTTTCGCACTTCCTCGCTGCCGTCGCTCGCGCTCCCCTCGGGCAGCTTCGCGCGCTGGTGTTCTTCGGGCCGCCCCCCGCGTTCGCTTAGGTGCGCGGTCGCGGCTTGACAGGGTTTCCACGAAAGTGGAGCGAATACTTTAATTTCGAATTTTTCGGATTTTGATTTTTTTTGCTCACATCGTTTTATTTATTTTGTTTTTTTTTCGGGTTTAAAAAATCAATCCCGGCAACTTCCCGGCAACTTCCGGCAACTTTCAGAATTGACTTCCTCGAAACATTCGCATAAAAGAATGGATCCCGGCAACTTCCGGCAACTTTAAAAAATTGATTTCCGAAAATTAAAAAATGATTCGGAATTTAAAAAATCAAAAACAATATCATTTCGCGAAAACCAGCCTGATTTCTTTCCGACGCGAAATGCCAGCAGTCTGGTGGCCCTTGCCATCTGGCTTGCAGGTTGTCGCCCTGCGCGCGCTTGTTTTGGCTTGTGGTGTAGGGTCTTCGCTCTGGAAGGACAGCGCCCCGCGTTCATCTCCTCCTTTCCCCTTTTCCCCTTCCCACCGCCGTTTCATTCCTGCCATCGCTGTTTTTTGCCATCCGAATGTCTCTGTTTCGGTCGCCAAGGACAGCGTTTCGTGGCCACATGGGAAACTACCGAGGACCCATGGGCCCCAGTCCCTGGGCCCGCGTGGCGCAGCCGCCCCATTCTGGCGCACCCCTCGCACGGTTCGGGGCCCCATAGGGCGCTTCGCCGAAGGCTCGAGTGGCAGGCGTCGCATGGCACCGCCGCCCAATTCTGGAGCACCCCTCACGCGGTTCGGGGCTCCATGGGGGGCTCCGCCAGACGCCCCAACGGCAGGCGTCGCATGGCGCCGCCGCCCAATTCGGCTGCAACCTCGCAAGGTTCGCGGCCCATAGCGAGCTCCACCGAAAGCCCCAGCGGCAGAGTTCGCATGGCACCCCCGCCCCATTCGGGCGCACCCCTCACGCGTTTCGCTGCCGCGTGTGGAGTTACACCGAACCCCCAGTGGCAGGGTTCGCAAGGTGCCACCGCTCCTTTCTGGCGCACGCCCCTCGCGCGATTCCTCGCGCCCCCCCCCCCCCCCTCCCCCCCTCACGGGGTTCCGCCGAAGGCCGCGTGGCAGGGTTCGCTTCGCACCGCCGCCTCATTCTGGCGCCCCCCCTCACAGGGTGCGTGGCTCCACGGTGCTCCACCTGCAAGTGGCAGGGTTTGCGTGTGGCGCATGGCACCGCCACACCATTATGGCGCAGCCCTCGCACGGCTCGTGGCCGTATAAGGAGCTCAACCGAAGGTCGCAGTCGCTGGGTTCGCATGACGCCACCGCCTCCTCCTGGCGCACGCCCTTCACGCGATTGGTGGCCCCGCAGGGAGCTCCACCGAAAGCCCCAGTGGCAGGCTTCGCACAGCACCGCCGCCACAGGCCGGCGCACCCCGCGCGCGGTTCGTGGCCCGATGGGGAGTTCCACCGAACGCCCCAGCGGCAGGGTTCGCATGGCACCGCCGCCCAATTCTGGCACAGTTTTTACACGGCCCGCGGTCACGCAGGGGATTCCTTTTGTTTTGGTTTGGTACTACTTGCCGTGCGTTGCCCGCGCTTGCATATAGTTGGGTCCTTCGCAAGGGTGGGTAAATTGATTCCGCCGCGCGAAGATCGGAACCGCGCGTGCCCGAGCATCGAGGGCGCGTCGCCTGGGGCGTGCAACTGGGCGCTCCATTGGCCAGGGCCGCAGCGCAACATTTGGCGCACCATCTCGCGCGCCGACATTGATGCCGCGCCGTGGCGCGCGCGCGCTCAGCCAGGCAGATGGCGCGCATGCGCGGCATGCCGCCCCCCCCCCCCCCCCCGCGCACCCCCCCCATCCTCCCGCAGCTCATTCGCCCTGCGCCCGCTCCTCCCTCTCTCCCCCCCGCCCCCGCGCCCCCCGCCCCGACCATGCCCCGCCGCCGCAACCGCGGGCGCACGCGCACACGCACACACGCACACGCACCCACGCACGCACGCACACTGACACGCATGCACATGCACCACCACCACCCACCCACCCATCCACCCACCCACACGCACGCCGCACCACGCACGCACAAACCACCACCGCCACCCCACCCCACCACGCCACACCCCGCCCCGCCCACCTCCACCCACCCGCCCCAACCTCGCCCGCCCACCCATCCCACCGCCCGCCACCACCAGCACCACCACACATATATACACGCATACACATGCACAAACACGCACGTCGACCGCCACCCAACGCGCACACGCACACCACACCACACCACGCACGCACACGCGCACATACATTCACACGCACCACCTCCCACCCATACGCGCACGCACACCACGCCACCACACACACACACACGCACACACGACCACCACCACCACCGCACACCACCCCGCCCCACCATGCCCATCCCCACCCAACCGCCCCCACCTCACCTCACCCATCCACCCACCCCGCCACCCACCCCGAGGCACACACGCACACACACACACACCTTTGCCGCATCGGATGCTAACCAAGCCATCTGGGGGACGTCGGTTGATCCCCAGATCGCCCCGCCCCGCCCCCCCCCCTCCCCCACGCACGCGCGCGCGCACGCACGCACGCGCGCGCGCGCACCCACGCGCACACGCAACGCACATACACGCACTTCCCGCACCCCATGCAAACCGAGCCCGCCCCCGCCTCTCCCCGCGCCCGCCCCATCCCACGGGCAAAATCTCCCTCGGTGGACGTCGGCTGGTCTTCGCATCGCGACACTCCCCCCCATCCTTTGCGCTATGCGCCATTCGGTGGGCTTCCGCGGATCGTCGCATCGCCGCCGCCCCTCCATGCGTTGCACAGTCGTTCGGTGTTCAGGAATTTTCGACCCCCTTTGCAGTAGTGATACACTGGCTGACATTACCATCGCCCTATCATCCAATCACATCTACTAAGCCGCTACCGTTCGATACAAACTCATATTTGCCCCGTCGGCGCCCTATCGCAGCAGTCGTCAGTCGCGTCGATAATTCGTCTCGGCACGTCGTGGCAACTGCTGCTTCATAATATCTGAACGTAGCGCCCCGCGAGCGCGGATAAGAGTAATGGGGGCGGAGGGAGGAGACCTATGAGACTTACGAGCCCTTTAACACTTAGGAGCCTTCTGATCACTCGGAGCCTGATATGCCCTTAGGAACTCTATGAGCCTTATGAGCCCTTTAAGCCTCATGAGTCCAGACTCGCATATTGGGGGTCCTTGTGGGCTTCTGAATCTGCCTCTCGGGCTCTCTATGAGCGCTCCAGGATCCCTTTTGGGGCCCTATCGGAGCCTTCTCATGGGTTCAAGAGGGGCCCAAGATGATTCCCAAAGGGCCCCAAGAGGGGCCCTCGCAGTATCATTTTGCGGGGGTTTCTTTAGGCGGGCCTCCCAGGGGGTCCAGAGGGCTCACGTGAAACCCCCTTTTGGAGCCCTCTTGAGACCCTCGTGGGCCCCTTTTGGGCCCCTCTTGCAATCGCCTGGACCCGCCCGCAACCCACCTGCCAGGGCGACATCAACAAGCACAGCGCCCACCGCGGGCGCCCGCGCCAGCCGCGCCGCAAGGGGCATTGCACATTGCAAAACCGTTCGCCCCCCTCTGATACATGTGCATATCTGCATATATTATATACACACAAGGTGCGTAGACGCCCGCGGTTTCGCCCACCCCTAACTTTGGGAAGGGGGGCGGGGGATATATTGTCGAGTGCCTCACGCTGAGCGTAGCAAGCTACGGTGTCCAGGCCAACGGTTGGCCGACTTGCATGTTGCGCCAGCGTGTCTGTCTGCCCCCCGCCCCCCTTTTTGGCATCGCACCCTTTTCGACCCTTGTCTTTTTTTATTCCCCCCATTGGGTTCAGCCCCCTCCCCTGTCCTGGGCCCCCGGCTTGGCGAGCGCCGCGCCTGCCCGCAGGACGAGCGCGCCGACGCCGCGTTGACTTCGCCGAGGGGCGCCCGCGCCGAGGCGTTCCTCCCCCTCCCCTCCTCCGACGCCACCTCCTTTTCCTGCGCCTACTTCGCTGCTCCCTCGGTCTTTTTCTCAGCCAGCTCCTGCTCCTGATGCTGATCCCCCGCCCCGCTGATCCTCCGCCGCCGACTCTGTTTCGTCGCCCTGCTCCTGCTAACTCTTCCACTTCCCTCTGCTTCCCCGCCCCCCCGCCTCCCGCTGTTGCCTCTGCTGCTACCCGCCCTCCTCCCTCCTCCTCATCCTCCTCCTTCTCCTCCTCCTCTTCCTCCTCCTCCTTTTCCTCCTCCTCCTCCTCCTCCTCCTCCTCTTCCTCTTACCTTTCCCTGTCTTCCCTCCTCTTCCCAGTCCTCTGTTTGAGGCCGCCGACTGCTCCGCGGCCCTGCGCGAGACCTCGCCGCCTCCGGCCCCGCTCGATAAGCTCGCTTCCAAAATGTTGTCGGCGATGAACCGTGGTTCGAGGAGAGCCGACATGGAGACGTTCAAGAGTGGTTTGCTCGCCATGTCGACCGAGGGGAGTGTCACAGTGGGTTCGGCATGTTCTGGCTGCGACATCGTGAATCATGTCTTCAGGGTGTTACTTACCCACGCGCAGAGGTCGATGGCCGAGCATGTCCCGCAGGTGCGACACGTCTTCTCGTGCGAGAAGGACCCGTCCAAAATCGCCTTCTTGAAGAATGAGTTCGCCCCGGAGATCTTGTTCGATGACGTGCGCGTGCTGACCAAGCGGTCTGGAGTGAACTTGATGACGGGGAAGGCTCAGCGCGTTCCAGGCGTTGACATTCTGGCTGCTGGCTTTAGCTGTAAAAGCCGTGCCGCTACGAACAACAAGAGCCACTTGCACGTCAACTGCATTCAGAACAAAGATCCCGAGGCAGAGACGTCCATCACATTCCACGCGATCGCGGACTACATCATACGGTTTCGCCCACGGTTGTTTTTCTTGGAGAACGTTATGTCCCTCGGTCAGAAGAAGGACGGCTCCGACGACGCCTCGGACATGGAGTGGATCTGCGAGTACTTCGCCAACAGCGGGTTCGCGATGAAGACCTTCGCGTTCGACGCCGCCGACTTCGGGGGCCCTGCTTCTCGTCGGCGGCTTTACCTCCTCGGCTGGCCCATGGAGTTCGAGTCCGACGACTCGCCCGCCGCCCCGGCGATGCCCCTCGATTACTTGGATAGTTTCTTGGGCTCGCTGCTGGTCGAGGCCATTGCAACTCTCGTCAATCATGCCTGCTCCCTCCTTCCCTCCGCTCGTCCTCCCTCCTCATTTCTCTTTGCCCTGTACCTCCGCCCCCCTCGAGTCCTTCTCCTCCCGCTGCTCCTGTTGCTGCTGCCGATGATAGAGGGGCAGGGGCAGGCGGGGGTTGATGGGCAAGAAGGGGCATGGCGAGAAATCGAGGAGGAGGAGGAGGAGGAGGTAGATGAGGGAGGAGAGGAGTAGAAGGAGGAGGTGGAGGATGATGAGGTTGATTAGGAGGAGGAAGAGAAGGAGGAGGAGGGGGGATGAGGAACAACACGCGGCAGAGGGGGGGCCCGAGTGGAAACGCGTCGCCCCGCGCCCCAGGGTCCCGACATGAACTCGTTCTTGATTGCCAATCCCGACCAGTGGGAGTCAGAGATGGCCAAGTACACGGCCACTCCAGCCTTAGGCCCGTCTCGCAAGGAGGCCAAGAAGGATGTGGAGTGGCACAAGGAGCACTGCAATGCTTTCCGCGATGCCGATCTGCAGTGGCCAGCTGAGGGGGTCGACCCGGAGGGCTTCGTTGACATGGAGTTCAAAGGCGTGTCGTTCAAGCTCTACAAGGGCACCCTCTGTGACCGCCAGTTCGAGTTGACGCTCTTTTCCATGGTGAGTTTCCCCATGGCTGAGGGCTCGCCGCCGGAGTTCATGGATGTTATGCCCTCCCTCGGGCGCATCTTCAAAGGGGAGGACTTCGCCACGCCGTGGAGGACGCAGATGCAGACGATCACTGCTGCGGCCAGGCCTGTTGTGCGTTTTTTTTGGAAGGGCGAGGTGTACGTTCGCCCTGTCGGTGGTGCGGAGTGCATGGCGATCATCGGCTGGGACTACAGCTTTTGGAATGACCCGGATGCGTACAAGTACGAGGACCCGCTGCTGGTGAGCCTGGCCGGCAGCGCCTTCTCGGGCTTCGCCGTCCTCCCGATGTTGATGTGTCTCTTCTTCGCGCAGGGCAAGTTCAAGGCGGCTGCCGACGCCAAGGGCCCGAGCGTTCTCAACGGCGACGAGGGCGACGAGGAGCAGGGCGAGTCCGAGAGCGCCGACTCCTCGAGCGATTGAGGGGGCTCCCAGGTACGCCGCTAGCCTGGTTCGACGTGTTTCTCGAGGGAGCGTTGGGGAGAGTGCGCCTCCGAACTTCTCATCCCGTCCTTCTCTTCCCTCCTCGTCCTGCTCCTCCTGCTCCTCCTACTTCTCCTGCTGCATCTGCCCCTTCCCCCATTCCTCCCTGTGGTCCGCCTTCTCGTCTACCTAATATTACTCCTGCTGCTGCTGCTGCGTCTGCTGCTCCTCCTCATTGCCACCCTCGCTTCTCCCTGCTCCTCCCTGCTCTTCCCTGCTCTTCTTCGTCCTCCTCCTCCCCCTGCTCGTCGCTCCGCCTCCTGCGTTGGCTGGGCGCCGACGTGGCGATGACATCCTGGAGGGGGCTCTCATGCCGCATCGCGCCTGATCTGTGTGCTAAGCAGCCCCCCGCCCCCTACAGACGAGCATGCGTGGATGCTGGAACCCCCCCCCTCCCCATCGATGTGTTCACCCAGCCCCTCATCCTCGAGGGTTGCCTCGTGACCCTCCCCGGGCCATGGCCGTCGTCGTCGTTGTCGTCTCGTCGTGGTCCTCGTCGCCACAAGCATCGCCATCGTCGTCGGGATGAGTCCGAACCGCCCGAAAATCGGAGAAGGGCAACAATTCGTCGCCCTCATCGCCCGAACCTCGGAGAGAGGCAACCCCCTCCAACTCGAGCGAAGAGCGATTATCCTTGCGCCCCTGGGGGTGACCTACAAAGATCGTCGTCGTCGCCGTCAGGTCGCCGTCGCCGTCGCCGTCGCCGCCGTCGTCGTCGTCGTCGTCGTCGTCGTCGTCCTCTCCGTCGTCGTCTCCTCCGTCGTCGTCGTCGTCGTCGTCGGTCGTCGAGGTTTTTCGGCGTTCCCGCCCGCTCTCTGGGCCTCGAGGGGGCCTCTGGATGGCGCGAAGAGGGCCGCGGATATCCGAGGGCCATGGTTCTCGAGGGCATCGCCGTGGGAAACGCCCCGTGCCGAGCGCGTTGTCGTCGTAGTCGTCGTCGCCGTCGTCGTCGTCGTCGTCGCCGTCGTCGTCGTCGTCGTCGGCGACGTCGTCGTCGTCGTCGTCGCCGGGATGTCTGGGGCATCGCCGCCAGCGTCTCCCCCCCCAGGGCCTCTCCATGTGTGCACGTATAATCAGGTGGGGTCTTTCACGGCGCTGCAGGGGTGAAATTCCTGACGCTTCGCGCACCCGCGCCAGCCCATCCAGGAACGACGCCCAGGTGACGTGGGAAGTGCGTGAGCAAAGAGGGGGACAGCTGAAACGTTCGACGGAGGAGGCTGAGGATGGATGGATGGATGGATGAGGGAGGAGGGAGAAGGGCGATACATCGGATGATGAGGAGGAGAATGAGGAGGATGGAGGAGGAGGGCCAGCAAAAAGGCCAGAGGCTTCTTGGATGCCTCTCGGGATCTCTTGGGATACCTCTTGGGCGTTTCTTGGATGCTTCTGGGGGCGCATCGGGTCTCTCGGCGGCCCAGGGGGGCCCCTGGGCGTTTTTGTTGCCTCGGGGGGGGGGGCCTGTGATGTCCGCGTGGAATCTTTCTGGGGGCCTCTTGGGGGCCTCTTGGGGGGCTCTTGGGGCCATCTTGGGGCCTCTTGGGGCCTCCTGGGGCCTCTCGGGGCCCCTTGAGGGCCTCCTTAGAGCATCTTGGAGCTGTCTCGGGGGCCTCGGGGGCCTTCTTGGAGCCATCTTGGAAGAGCTCCATCAGAGAAGGGGAGGGCCGCAGTCAGCCTTGCCCCTCGGGAACCCCAGCGATCGCCTCTCTCGCCCCTCCTGCAGCGCTATTGGGGCCGTCTTGGGGCTCTCTTGGGCCTCTCTTGGGGCGCCCTTGGGCCACCTTGGAGCCATCTTGAGGCCTCGGATGGCCATCGGAAGCAAACCAGCGAGAAAACCAAAAACACGAATATGATCTTGTGGCTATTGAGTGATCTTGGCCTCTTCGGGGCCTCTGGGGCAAGCTCTTCGGCAACTCTGAGCCGTCTGGGAGCGTTCCTGGGGCCTCTTGGGGCATCTTGGAAGCCATCTTGAGGCATTTTAGGCCATCTTGAGCCATCTTGGAGGCCATCTCGGCTGCTCCCACGCCCTCTTGGGGCCATCTTGGGCGAACAAAGTACCCTCTGACACCTCGCGGCTTCGCCCGTCCAGGTCCAAGGGATAGGGTCGGGGGAGGGGCGAGCCCTCTCCGAAGGGGAAGAGGGGGGTTGGAAGAGGGAACTCTCTAGACCACCTGCGCCCTCACAGAGCTGGTGGGGCTGCTCATCCCATCGCGACTCAGGGTAGCCCGAAGTTTTTTTCAGGTTCAGACCTGGCCGCCTTCCCCGATTTGTGCGCTGCCAGCGTTCCAGCGTTCCACGTGGGATGTCGATCAACAACGACTTCCTGTTCGGGTCTGTCGCGGCGCCAGACGTGTCGCCCAAGCGTAAGAAGTCGAGGAAGTCGAGGTCTGACGGAGGGAGCGTCCACGAGGTGGACGGCCGGGGCTCGCAGCACCAGCCCCAGCCCGACGGGCGCAAGTGCATCGGTTGCAACTTGAGAGACTCCGACGAGGATCCAGTGGATGGGCCGGGCTCGTTCGTGCGTTGGGCGCACCCTCCCGTTTGTGGGAAGACACAGGGCGGAAAGTGTTGGTATTGTAACAGGTCATGGTTCACTGGTTTCCGCCACGCCCCCGAGACGGGCAGCTTCGAGAAATTGATGACCGTCTGCGGCACCGACGACGCCGTCCTCCAGAAGTTCAACAACGTTCGGTCTTTGATTTTGGACAAGTGCGTGAAACAAGGGAGCAGGCACATCCATGTGCGCGCTAACGAGGTGAAGGCCGTCGTGACTACCGTCGAGCGCACCATGGTCTCCCTCGAGGATGACGACGACGTCGTGGAGCTGGAGTGCTACAAGAACGAGTACCACGGCGGCATGGGGGACCCCGTCACGAACGGCAAGGGGCACACTATCTTGATGATCCAGGGGGTCATGCACGTCAGAGTCCCAGGGCCGCCTGTGAAGAAGTTGAAGCGGTGCCAGCAGAGCATCGTGGACGTCACGAGGATGGCCGACGACGGCAGCCTCGCGCTCTCCGACACCCACGCGGCTGATGTCGCCCAGCAGCTCTCGACGAACATTGGGGCGCACACAGACGGGGCTGGCGAGCGCGTCAGGGCCCCGCCCGCCATGGACGCCGTCGCCGATGCTAGGACGCCGAAGCGGCCCACCCAGGCTGCCTCGCAGCCCTCGCCCTCGCCGCCGAGTTCGAGCTCTGCGACCGGCGCGCGCCCCATGACCAGCCCGCCCCAGGTCTTGGGCATGCAGGTGGTCGTCCCCGCGCTGCCAGGAGCGGCGGCTTCGCCGTCGGAGGTGCAGGCCGAGGATGCGTCGGCGAAGCGGGCCCGGCCCCCGGCGTCGGCCGCCAGGCCCGCCGCCAAGCCCAGGGCGGCCGCGGCCAAGGCCAGCGCTGCGCCCGCCCCATCCGGAGCGGGCGGCGGCGCAGGTGGCAAGGCGGGCAGGAAGAGGCGGAACTTGGTCTCGGAGACGGAGAAGGTGGCCAGTCAGTTCCAGCAAGCCGCTGCGGACGACAAGACGTTCTTTGGCCTCGGCCACGCGGGCATGGTCGCCTGGCTCAAGCGGTTGTGCAAGGACTACGCGGAGAGGATCCCAACGATCCAGGTGGAGGAGGACGACGGGTTTCTAATGCATCCTTATCCTCCATTTCCCCTGTGCTCCTCTTTCTGCTCCACCTCTTCCTCGCCCTCCTCTTTCCTCCTTCTGCCCGTCCTCGCCTACCTTGCACTCCCCCCTACTCGCCCTCGTCCTCGTCGTCTTCGTCGTCGTCCTCCTCCTCTTCCCCCTGCTGCCCCTCGCACTGCCCCTGGTGCTGCCGCTGCTGCTCCTCGCCATCGTCGTCCACCTGTCGCTGCCAATATGTCTTCTCGAACTCTTCCTCCTCCCCCTCCTCCTCCTCCTCGCCCTCCTGCTGCTTCTCCTCCTTCACCACCTTTCTGGACTTCTCCCCATCCTCCTCCACCTCGTCCGCCTCCAGTTGAGTTGTCCGGTCTATTCCCTCTGCCCCCTCCTCGTCTCAGCCCTTTTTATCCTGCTCCTCGTCATCGTCCTTCTGCCCTTCCTGCTGCTACTCCTCCTAATCCTCGTCTACCTCCATCTCGTCGTCGACCGCCTCGCCCTCGTCATCCTCGTCGCCTCCTTCCCCCCGTTCCCTTGAGCTGCTGGCGTGCGAGCGCGATGCCTAGCTCAGCATTTGCAGCAACGTGCCCAACTAGTGTGTCCTACCTCATCATTCCCTCCCACATCCTCTTCCTCATCATGTTCCTGCGTATGCTCCCTCTCGTCCTCCTGCCAGCGACGTGCCCCCCTGTCCTCTCCGCGTGATTGCGTCGGCCTGGCCGACTCAGCGAGGTAGGCGGGAGTTCGGGTCTCAGCCTGCGGGGCAATGCAATGGCGGCCCGCTCGCTGTCCTGCCAGTTTCGTCGGTGATCCTCCTCCTCCTTCTCCTCCTCCTCCTCCTCCTCCTCCTCTCCTCCTCCTCCTCCTCCTCCTCCTCCCCCTCCTCCCGTTCGTGTCCCTGTTCATGCTGCTCCTCCCCCGCCCATCTCCTTCCCCATAGTCCCCCCTCTTTGCCCGTGCATCCCTCGCCCGCGCGCCCGCCCACCCTGGGCTGCCCTGGGCAGGAGTACGACTCGCACATCTTGGGACAGAAGATTGCCAAATCCATCCTGTCCATCTGCACGGCGTGGAAGAAGCATGGCCTGGATTCGTCGGGTTTCGCCGGCGCCATCAAGGACGCGATCCATTTCCTTGAGATGCTGCCTGCAGCGAGGACCGACTTCTTGCCTGACTTCATCCGCATGTCGGAAAAGAAGTTCGCTGTGTCGGCATGCCCCGCCGATTCAACGTTCTGGCCAATGTTGTCGCGCGACAGCGTTGGCATGACAGAGGCGGCCCCAGCCGCCTGGGAGCAGTTTATCTCGGAGATGATTCTTGACAAGCT